GCTAGTTTATATTTTAAAGACCAATCGGCACAGAATGGGTGATGTGGTCACCATCATGCCGGCCGCCTTTACTTCCCAGGGCTGCACCCGGTACCCCTAGGGAGCGTACTCACGACCTTCCAATCTGCAGGTGAGCGTCTAGCCACTATGCCACAGGAACTCCCACTCACTTGAGTATCTGCACTAATATGTGCCCGACACTGATGCATCAGACCCACTGCAGCACAGTTTAGCCAATGGTTGCCCACGCAACACATAATGTGTCTGGACACTAATGCCTCTCTTCTGCCTTGGGGTGTAGAGGTTTGCCAGAGAGATCGCCAGGCTTCTCTATCGGCAGTTTTCTTTCTGGCTTTGTTCCATGCTAGTCCTCTGTCAGTCAGGGGCTGTTGGATGTTGTCTTCCCAGCGGACTTTGAGTCACCCTAGAGGTCTGGTTCTCAAGCCTGCCATGATGGCCCATTTTTACCATTCTGCATTCTTGTTCAAACCATTGTAACGGTGACTGATCCACTTGGGTTTGTAAGACCTAGATTTCAAGATCTTGATGTCTGATTTTGTCCCATCTTTCTCAGATATCTCATTTCTGACACCTGAAGCTGGTTTCTGTGCGCTGTTGTCATTGAACACGACTCACACCCGTAGGTCAAGATTAGCACATAGGTAGACTGATAAACAGCTATTTTTGTCCCTTTGTCAATTTCTCTTTCTAATGGTAACCACCTTGTAATATTAGAAGTCAAAGTGTTCTTCTTTTCCAACCTCTAGCTATGTCCAAACAATTTGACTTGTTTCCTTTTGTAGTTTAGCACTCATTCTGTCTCCACTTGTTTCCTGTTACATTGCTGTTACAATTAAGTTTTATCATAGACATGTCACTGTTGAAATTTGCACTGGTAACACAATGCTGGTAAAATGACATTCCTTTGGATGTTTTCTCCACTTGGTAAACTAATGCATGACAAGCTAGATGACCTAAGGGAGGGCCCTCTGGATGTGAATAAACAGTGCAGTCACAAACAGATTGTCGCAGACTGAAGAGAATGGTGCAGCAAGGAGTGACCAGGAGAGCTGGCCCGACCCTCGACACCCAGGGCAGGAGTGACCAGGAGAGCTGGCCCGACCCTCGACACCCAGGGCAGGAGTGACCAGGAGAGCTGGCCCGACCCTCGACACCCAGGGCAGGAGTGACCAGGAGAGCTGGCCCGACCCTCGACACCCAGGGCAGGAGTGACCAGGAGAGCTGGCCCGACCCTCGACACCCAGGGCAGGAGTGACCAGGAGAGCTGGCCGGACCCTCGACACCCAGGGCAGGAGTGACCAGGAGAGCTGGCCCGACCCTCGACACCCAGGGCAGGAGTGACCAGGAGAGCTGGCCCGACCCTCGACACCCAGGGCAGGAGTGACCAGGAGAGCTGGCCCGACCCTCGACACCCAGGGCAGGAGTGACCAGGAGATCTGGTCCGACCCTCGACACCCAGGGCAGGAGTGACCAGGAGATCTGGTCCGACCCTTGACACCCAGGGCAGGAGTGACCAGGAGAGCTGGCCCGACCCTCGACACCCAGGGCAGGAGCGAGATTGACATACAATCAGGCTGTTACTGGTACCATCAGAATTGGACGGGGAACTCGTGGAAATGTCACCAGAACTCTGCCAATTCTTAACTTCGCAGACTGGCAGAAAGTTTTGGTTGTTTTTCTACTTCTGTACTTTGGTCTTTTTCCAGAACATGAGTTCTTAGTGCACATCCAGTTTACAGATCTGGTTTATTTTAACACAAACTGTTAAATTCTCATCTCTCAAGTAGATGCACTCCAGCTTCGAAGAAAAGTTCTTAACTCATAACTCACGCAAAAATACTGCACGGAAACTCTCTTTTAGTGTCAGCTGCTACACTGTTTGTTGTTCTGCAGCATTGGTGACAATCTGTCCAATGATTTAGTGTTTTTTAAGTGCATTTGTCTGTTACTTTTTTTCCCCCTGTTAGATGATGCTCTCTAAACATTTTGAAGTCTTCTGCTTGTTTGAGTTGTTACCATCTTTAGACTTCTGTCAAAATTTGCATTTTTACAGATTTAAAAAAAAATTTTTTTTTTATTTGCCGAAGGTCTATATATTTTTAGCGGCCTCTGCATAAGGTTTATGTCAAGCGAACATCTATCAAGACTTTCTTCTTCGCCTGTGGAATCCTTAACCCATTCACTACCAACTCATCTCAACATTATGTCTATTTTCACTCATTTTTAAAATCTACTTCTAGTTAATCTAGTATTTTTGCACCAAACCAACTCTGCATCTTCTTTCGTTCGCTTGAAATAGATTATCTATATCTGCAATGTTGTCTCTAGTATGAACTTTGCTGTCTTTTGTAATTCATTCAGTGACCTGTAGTGAAGTTTGACTTGCACAGATGTTTCTCTTGGCCAAAATTGTTGCCTTGATATGTTGTATTTGGAACATTCTTGGAGGACATGATCTTTGTCTCAATCCAATGTGCACATGGCTGATTCGCAGATTTTAAATGTTGTGTACATGTGGCTGTGAATTGATTATGTCATGTCCTGAGGCATAAAAGAATAACTGGCTCTGATCTGTCCATAAAATGGTAATTGTCTTGTGCACCAATTGTTATTGTAACATTTTCTCTCTCATAGTATTTATATATTGACTCATTGTTAAAACACTGATTGATTAAAGCAACAATTTATTGGGATAGGTAGGTTAAAATATAAGCTGGCTGGAGCTGAATGCAGTTATGTAAAACATGTTGTAAAGGACCCTTTCTTTTCTATGCCATAAGGTGTATTGGGCATATAAGGCTAGACCTATATTTTATAGACCAATAGGCACTTGATGGATGATGTATTAATCACAACAGCTGCTTTTACTTCCCAGGACTTTACCTGGTACTCATTTAAGGCTGGGCCAACCTGGAAGCCAAATTTATTTGTTCCAAGTCTGGCTACATCAGGATCTGAAGCCACTACATCACGACAGCTCACACAACGGTATGAAAGTACAACAAAATACATGTATATCAGGCATAATTTTGTTTTATCTGTTCACCAGAAAAAAACATTTTGTAGCAGTGGGCGTCAGCAAAGAAAATGTAATGGATTACTGTAGCAATTCTTAGACACGATGTTACTGCTAACTGGATATGCAGATGCATGTTGTCGGTGAATAAATTGGTTGGGATGTGGAGGGGGGGGGGGGGGGGGGGGGCTTTACTGCCAACTAATAAAATGATTTTTCCTTTCTGTATAAAAAATTTTGGAAATTAACTTTACCATCAGTCAATAAAATGATTTTCTGTCAGTGTTGCCAAGATGGAAGGATAACATCAGAGAAACTCTACAACAGCACGATGTGCCTATGGGCGAGGCAGCCAGAAGAGCTAGAAACAGAACCTTATATCTCCCTCGACACCCACAGCGGTAAAAGAGGAAGTGAAGAAGAAGAAGAAGTTGCCAGCAACAACAACCTATCAGGCAATAAAATGTTGGAAATTAACTTTACAGGCAGATAAAATGAAGAAGTATGACTTCTCTGTCAGTGAAAAAAAAAAAGATAAATGACTTTACTGCCATTAAATAAAATGAAGGACGACAACTGCCAGTGAATTAAATGTTGAGAGAGCCAACTTTACTTCTGTCAGCTACAGAATGCAAGAAATAGTCAAGGAGTAAGATAATAATTGGTGACAAATCTATTACTTTCTGATATAAGCACACAAAGCAGACCAGGTACAGCTACTACTCAATCGAGTTCATATCAGACCAGGGACATTTATTGTTTATTTTTCCACATGACAAGCTGTCTCTCTGAAAAGCCATGTTATAATTGCCAAAAATTATGTTGTGCCAGCTGTTGATTACTGCATTAAAAACTAACTATTATTATCCCTTTAAAAATGAAAAGTGTATTCATCTTGTCAAAAATAAATGATAAAACAGAACCCCCCCCCCCCTGTAATTACTGAGAAACACTATTTTGCTTACAAGCTGTGAATGACAATGTTTGTCACTATCATCATTTGCTTTACCAGATGGCGTTGACACTGCTGGCTCTTCACAGAGTTCGAACTTGACTGTTCTGGATAAGTTTAAAAAAAAAATATATATATATATATATATATATATATATTCTTCCCCATCCTCGTTTTATTCCACACAGTATCATATGTCTCAGCCTGCATTTGCCTCTTCAAACACTCAACTTTCCTATCATCAGGATGTTTACTAATGCCTCTCCATTACATGGTCAAGAGACACACTAATGTCTCTCCATTACTTAGTCAAAAGACATACTATTGCCTCTCCATTCATGATCAAAAGACACACTAATGTCTCTCCATTACATGGTCAAAAAACACACTAATGCCTCTCCATTCATGGTCAAAAGATACACACTAATGCCTCTCCATTACACTGTCATAAGACACACTAATGACTCTCCATTATACAGTCAAAAGACACACTAATGCCTCTCAATTACTACACAGTCAAATGACAGAGCACGGCTCTGCTTATCTGGCGTCTTCAGCATGCTTTGTTTCAAAGTTATTAGTGTTTTCTTTGGAGACAACCAGGCAGACGAGGGGGTAGAGGAGCACACATGGTTTCTACAATACTGCCTAGGTTCTGTGCTAGGGATAGCAGACAAATGTCCTAGAATCCCATGCACTAATCGTGAAAGACTTCTTAATGTGAGCAGGTCTTTCTGGTCGACTTCAAATGCCACTTGATGTGACTCCCATATATAGGCACAATTTAAGACAATCATCTGGAAGAACAGAAAAGTATCAACAACAACATGACCAAAAAACATTTTATTTTTCTCTCTCATATAAGTGTTTTCTAGACTGTTGTTAATTATTCTGTTTGGGTATACACAACCACTCATCTAAACAAAAATCACATCACCAATCCCTTTCTCATTGACAACCTTACATGAAAAAAAAACATATAACACAAATACGAAACAATACAAAAACTAGCTATGAGTCCTGGGTTGTAGTTTCCGGCAAGACTTCCTTGTTTTGTTGTTTCTCTGCCTCGTGCTGCTGCTTTTTTCTTAGGACACAGCTATTGTATCCTTCCTTATTTCTGGCAATTTCTATAGCAAGAAACTGTGTTCTTACACCTGAAAAATTTGATAATTTAAAAAAAATCATTAAAAACAATGCTGACATTAATATGACAATTCATCAGGACTGTACGAAGTGAAGTAATGCTTAAAACCATCGGACAGCCGAAAATGAGTAATCCAGGTGTTTTCACAGAGATGACTCAAAGATAATTTATCACAGACATCAGAACCAGAGTCATAAGTTGGCTTAATTACGAGGAGAAACAACCTGGAACATGTGACAACTTGAAAGAGATATAGAGGAACACAACATGAGAAGATTTCAGACAGAGCTTTTTGTAAAGGCATGGAGGGCTGTTGGCATGCGAACTGATACAGGCTGCTGGCAATCACATGTTGTATCACAGAATGATCACCTTGCCAGTCGGCAAGGTAACTGACAAATTTTTTGAAGCTAAATATTGTCTGGAAAATCATGTCTATTCAGTTTTTTATGAGCCAACATTTGTTAGTTCAGCCCTTGGTTGTGTGTTGTGAATAAATACCTGTGTTGCAGACACATGTACCACCAGATAAGCTCAACACAGAGAACACACAAGGGCAATTTTAACAGGCATGGATTCTATTCAAAACCTGCTCTCTTCAGGCTCAACATTTACATGGGCTCTGAAGCACCAGCAAGGATCCAGAAGTGTGCAAGACAGAATCAAAATGCTTTAAATGCTTCAAACACTCTACACACTTACAACTCAGCACTTATAGGGCTTCTCAACCAATGCTTAACATGGATTCCCCACAACACTTACATTAACTCTCAAATACCAACAAGTATGCAAGGCAAAATCAACATGCTATTCTTTTGTGGGCAGCTTTTCTACTGTTCAAATTTAGCAGGTAAGGCTCTGGTAAACTCTTTGCTATCTTCCCCTGCTGATGACAGCTGAACAAGGGCAGCATGCATACAGGTCCCCAGTGTTATTCATCCATACAAACAGATCAGAGGAAAGTATAACATCCACAGATTCCCCTGTAAAAACTCTGTGGATCCAAGATGGCGGCAAATGGTCGTGTTAGTGTTTGGCGGCTTTGATTTTCTTTCAGGTCATTCTGTTCCTTTGTCAGGAATTACCATTTTGTGGGCGTTTCCAACAAAGGATACATTGTGTTTTTCCTAAAGTGGCGTTTATTTTGGCTGTGATATGTCAAAGTGAAATGATGTGATCATGACCACAATGTTTTTATTGCGTTGATACACTATCCAGGAAGACAGATCTCGACAACAGGGGGCTGGCTGCTGTCTAGACAGCAAACTCAAGATAGGAAATGAAATATGAAACATAGTTTAGTATGAAACATAGTTTACTGCTAGGCTATGATATCTGTGCCTTCTGGTTTAATATATCAAATTTATAGCCCTGTAACACACTAAATGTAAACAATAAACAACTCACTGAAAGTTGTGTTCTCTGGTGTGTAATCGCCTTCACAGTCTAGTCTGAGTAAAGTACCCATGTTGTAGTCCTCAATTTCTTCCTTAAAAGATTCACAAAAGTTGCGCCATTTCTAGAAAGAAGAAGAAAAAAAAAAGCACTTAAAAGCCAAAACAATTTCAATGAAGTAAACAGTATTTTTGTAAGTTGAAACCTAAAGACTACAATATTACAACAGAGAATCTAGAATGTCCAAAATAATCTGAGAAGAAAATATCACCCTTTCTCAAGCCTGTGTGCATCTTCCTAGTCTCTAACTGTACCGTCTACCTACAAGGCAATAGGGTTAACCGTTGTGTCTCTCTTTGGCTCCTTTTCCCTAACCTGTCCGGCATAGGATACCTACCAGTTGTTAAGCTGCAGTCTGCATAAGAACTGACAAACCTTTCTAACATACTCGGGTGGAGACACATTAAAGCCAAAATTAAAATGTGTAAGTAAACGCTGGTTTTCTTTGAGGTCACAATATGGATCAATACTTTACTTCCAGTCTGCAATGAAATGCATTTCTTTTCATTGTTGTTTTTCCACTTCAATCTGTAAACCAGCATAAAGGCAATCTATTGGTTCTCAACCCAGTTGAAGGCTACAGTGACCTCCCCCACCTCAATTCTATATTTAGATGGCATCATATATGTTAGACAGCTGTTGCATTAAGCGATGTCCATTTGCTGTTACTTACTATAAACCCCAATGCACTGTATCTACCTCTCAACACAGAGCCATCTGAATAGATAATTACATCACCTGTCATAGATAACTTTTTGAATTATTTATTCTGCAGCGCCCACTGGCCATTGACTACACTCTTTATCTACTTTACTATGTAAACCAGCAAAAAAACAAAAGCTTGCTAAAGCAGATATGGAAACAGGAAAGCAAAGATAGTAGAAGACTTTACTCATATTAGGTCACACCCACATTACCTCATTTGCCATTCTTTCTTCCAGACAAATCTTTGGTAATATAAACACTTTGCTAGAATATTTCATGTTACCCATTTTGAACCGGGTCACATGGAAGCCTAGATCAGATTTTAAAACCCACTTCAAAAGCCTTAGGTGAGAATCCTGCTCATTGCACTTTACAGCTACATTCATGGCTTTCCTCTTCTTAAAACTTCACTCTCTAGCTCCCTTCTTTGTGTTTTATTTTTCCTCTTCCATTATTTCTATGCCCCTGTGGGTTCCAGCGCAAAGACATTCCATTTATACTGTTTTAAGGTTTTCTCAATGCATGTCCTATCCAACAAAACCAAGGATGAAATGCCCGATTGTTGATAAGTCAGGGCATTATTCAATACATCACAGTGGCATCTCACTGCATCTACACATGCTTTTGGCTTTAAAATGATCACTCTCCTGGCACAGGGATATTTCTATTGGTGCCCAGCTGCTTCCCATGGATGACACAAAAATAATCACAAAACAGCACACAAACTCTGTTGCACCAGATTGGATCTATAATTGTGTGACTATCATAATCTAACTTGGTTTAATCTTTAGTGGGGAAAAGGGGAGGTCGGACTTCAAATTTAGCAGTAAAAGTATTCAATTTTCAGCACCCACGAGAGGAAGTGAAAAGTACTTAACATTCTCTCAACTACAAGAGGGAGTGAAGAAGCATTCAACATTCTCTCAACACCTACAAGAAGAAGTGAAGAAGTATTCAACATTCTCTCAACACCTTCAAGAAGAAGTGAAGAAGTATTCAACATTATCGTGGTTGATGAACTCTGCATCTCTAGGGATTATAAGCTCCGAGAATCCCTGACAGTTATCTTTTTCTGATACCTTTAGACATCAATGTGGATATACAAGAGGAAGTCAACAAGTCACAAATGGTTGTTTACAAAAAAAAAACTAAAGATGATAACATTTTGAAAACCATTAATTTTTACACATACACTGTCCTTTTATTTTCAACATAATTTTCACCATCACTGATGCACTTATCGCATCATTTTATCGGTCCTCAAAAAACTGCTGCATAGAACTGTGTGCTCTATTTTCTAAACCAAATTTTTACTTCACATTTAACTTCTGTGTCATTAGCAAAATGTCTCCCACCAAGGTGGGTTTTCACTGGACCAAAAAGGTGGAAATCTGTAGGAGCTAAGTCAGGGCTGTAAGGTTGATGTTCCAGAAATTTACACCCTAGATGGTTAATTTTCTCCTGTGTTGATTGAGCAGTGTCATGAAGAAGCAGTACTCCTCAATTCAGCAGGCCTGGATGTTTTCTTCAAATTGCATCATGAAGCATCCACAGAACTTTACAGTATGAATCAGCATTCACATTGTCACTTTTTTTTTAAAGCTGGTTAAAAGCACCCATTGACAATCCCAGAACACTGTCAGCATAACCTTTCCTGCTGATGGCGTAACCTTAGATTTTTTTAACACAAGGCGAAGAAAGATGTTTCCATTGTAGTGAAGCACCCATGATTCGTCCCCAAGTAATAATCCTGGTCAGCATGTATTCTTCTTCATCTGTGTATTGACAGAGATGTTGCAAGGGCAGGCCTAATCAGTTTATTTTGTGTTTGTCCGTCAATTATCTGGGTGCTCAACTTGAACACACTTTCTTAAATTTCAATCGATCATGCTTATTACTGGAAATATTTATACCCTGCAGCTGCCAACAACAGAAACCCATCCCATTACCATGACCATAAGTCATCTTCCAAGAAAATACTTACAATATAAAATTGCCACTCACAACACTTGAAAAGGAATTTCCTGCATACTTACATTGTAGTGGACAGTTGCGTGATCCATAGCTTTCATAGCCCAATTCATTTCAACATCAGACTAGAAGGAACAATAACGTGTTAAACATACTTTCGTTAAAAATGACTTAAAAAAAACACACATAAAGAACTGGAAAGTTTGACAAGCAGAAAGACACATAAATACATACACAAAGCAAATGTATCAACCAGTCTAATCAACAGAAGAGACAAAAAATACCTTACAGAAATGTATAAAATCCTCTCCCCAAGACGCGCTTCGGTGTCTCTCCAGAGAGGGACAATGTTTTATATCCAGATTAATGGCAGAGCACAAGAGACTTCACTACAGACTCCACAGTAGATTGTATAAAGCTACTGGCCTCCTGATATGTTTTTTTTCTTTCTGACAGAAGGATCAGCAGAAGAAATCTATTTAAAGGTAATGCTCATGACCACACAAAACACATACCACAGCCAGCTCCAGATAAGGCTACATAGCTCAACGGGAATTGCCGCTTTTGGGGAGGCCGGCCGTGGCCGGTCGATGCTCACCATTGTTATCGGGTAGATTTATACATAATTTATTCAATAGTTTTATTAATCGGCAATTAAGTGGGCTGATATATTTATTATTATTATTTCTAATAACTCACTTATTTATCTTCAAAATGATAATTCATTCAATAACCAATGTTGCAAATAAACTGTAGCTTAATTTGTGTATAAATCTACTCTGTAACAATGATGAGCACCGAACGGCCTCCTAAAAACGGGGATTCCCATTTAGCTGCATGGCCTTATTTAGAGCTGACTGTGACAGAAACCTATGCTACACTAACAGCTTCTTCTTCATCAGCATTTTGAGTCCTAGTGGTTCACTGCTGCAGATATCACCTGCCTTTATTCATCTCTGTGATTAGTCCACAGACTGGTGACTCCAGAGCTTTCCAGTGTTTGTAGGTCTGCCTATATATTATATCTCCACTTGGTTTGCCTCATGATCTATAAAAATTCAACTACCTTGTATACAGTTTTTACTTCTCTGTTATCTGACATTTTCTGAATATGCATTAACAGCTTGCAAGGTGAAAATGTTACTTTAACGCCGAAAGTAAGGGCGTTTAAAAGTGATAGTAATGACTTCATTATAGTGGGTTATATCCCATACAGACTGATCCTTCCCCAAAGTGCAGCAGGTTGCCCACTGACAGCAGTCAACATAAAACAATATTCTGTTATCTCTAGCGATGACTCAAGGGCTCTCCAAAACACCTGCACTTGCAAACAAACGACATAATCTAAAACAGAACCCGCACACCCACACCCATAAATACACATGTGTATTCATATTCACAAACACTGTTCTTTGGCCACATAATGAGAAGAGAGACATTGGAAAACATCGTGACAACTGGAAAGATCAGTGGAAAAAGGGGTAGAGGCAGACCAAGAGAGATGATGCTGGATGGGCTAAAACGATGGCATGGAGTGATATCATCAAGAGAGCTGTTCCAATCAACCAGGGATCGTGATCTGTGGAGACGCATGATGATGATGATTCATATTCACAGGTATACATAACATGCACACATCATATATAAACATGCATTCAATTTTCTTCAAGCACATTTGGCTACCACAAATTAAAAAAAAAAAAAATAAACACATTTTTTTTATTAAATACAATAAAATAAGTATAGGAAACTGCAGAATTATTTCAAACATACTTACGGTGTTACCCAACTCATCAGGTCTGGACAGAGCAGCACCAACCTGATTTAGCTGTGAAGCATTCTGAAAACAGAAATACAACAGCAACTTTTGAACAACACATCGACTTTAAAACTGGATTATTTATGTGCCATTATTGTCTAAAACATCATATTTCCATGTCAGGGAAAACTCAGAAAAACAAAAGAAGGGTGCCTGATTTTCAAGGCACATGTATTTCATAGTTTTAAAAAAAAACACACACACAAAATAGAACGATATATGTTTTCTCCTGCATTCACTCTTAAAAGAGAGGTTGGCATACTGTGTTGTGTTTTACAGCAAGGCTGTGATATCTGCATCTTTCTGCGCAATATAGATTTCAGCAAACTCCTACTTCATCACCTTTTATGCCTGCTTGTTAAGGGACAGTGGATCTATTCTTTTCTTTCCCATAAAACTGGGCACTGGAGGCCTCATGAAAAGTATATCAGTAACGATGTCCCAGTCAGTATCAATGTAATGGAAATCCACTTACATTTTTGTCTGCCCTTACAGTAACTCGCCTGTGACATCAGAGAGTTAATACTTTGTAAATGAAGCAAATAAGTTAATCTTTTATAACTGAAGTACAATTTCAACAACGATCAAACATGACATACTGTAGTATGCACCTGACAAGACACAGCGAAATACGCTAGGCTAGGCAATAAATTGTGGGCTCTCCTTTAAATAACGGTCCCAAATGATCTACGCAGAAAGTTAACCCTAACAGAGCCTCATTACGTCATACCCTACAAAGATTTAAAAGTTGTAGCTCGGAAAATATAAGGAACGAAAAGTGTGAGGAAAAGGGCGAGGTCTACTACTTACAAACAGTTAAATCCTTTATATGTGGAAACTGTGGCACAGAAGTTGCAAATAGTGCCCGAATATCTGTTCTTTCTGTCTGTCCGCCATTTCAACAAGGCGCGACTTGTCCGCGATTCTCGTTCCGGGCGAGACATAATCAATTATGTGCGTTTTAATGTGCACGCATGTCACCTCGGGACAACTTCAAACCAGCAGTCCCCTCGGGACAACTTCAAACCAGAGCCCACACTATGGCTCTCCACTATCCCGACCATCCCTTGACCGTGGTGAATGCGACTACATCCGAGAGTATCGCCCGCGCTGCTACACGCGGCGCGGAAGGGGCTAAACTAGATGGCTAGGACTCACGAGCAAAAACAATGGAGGAAGCTGCAGGAGAAGCGGTAGCTGCTGCTCGTGAGTCCCAGCCATCTAGTTTAGCCCCTTCCGCGCCGCGCGGGATACTCTCGGAGGTGGCACTATAGTTGGCGAAAAGTGGTCCGCAACTTACATATAACTGTGGCCCTGCCGTAGGATTGCGCTATCGGGAGTATTCTTGCGTGTCGATAATTTTTCATCCGAAGTTAATCCTAGTTTTGCAACCGTTTAATCGTATTAAAAAAGTCTGTTGCGTTTCGCGAAAATGTCGTGCGCAATTAATCCTACTACTCGTTAGTTTCGCCGCAAAAGAAATGCGAATTTTAAATATGAGTGAGGCTCTGCTAGGGTTAACTTTCTGCGTAGATCATTTGGGACAGTTATTTAAAGGAGAGCCAAATTGTGCAATCCATTGTTTGTGTCTTCTTTGTTTAATTAATAATAATAATGATTTTTATGTATCCAGCTGACTAAAACTAAAAACAGAACAAATAGAGAAATTCCAGATCAGATACGGAGATAGATAATAAGTGAAAAAAATTCTCTAAAGTTCCTGTGACTTCCACTAATCCACTATCTATAATTAGTATTATTTCTGAAATAAATATTAAATAAATGGGCTATCCTCCAAATAACGGGCACAAAAGATGGCGGCCAAAAATAGAGCCTCAGTCACATGTCAATTGCGCACTTTCGGCGACTTAATTTGCGGTTTTCCGGCGACTACGACCGCCAGCGCCAAGAGTTCCCCGCGCGGCGTGGATTGGGGCTAAACTAGATGGCTAGGACTCACGAGCAAAGCTGCAGAAGATGCGGAAGCTGCTACTCGTGAGTCCTAGCCATCTATTTGTTTAATATGAGGGACGAAGTTCGGGGATAGACAAATTAAAAATTGAAAGAACAACTGAAAATTAGTTAAAAATCAAAAAGATTAAACGAAGTGAAAGGCTTACCAAGTCTGACATTGAGAAAGACATTTTTTCACTTTTTTTTTAATTAATCCAGGTGTGAATACTAAGAATTCAATCAGTAGATGAGAACCAACTATCGCACGTGTATATCACCAAAGTAAAATACTATTTCTAAACACAACTTCAGTTCTTGTTCTTTCGTTTCTTTTCCAGTCGTTTCCGGTCTGATGGTGAGCTAAAAACGTTGACGGGTTATGAAACAATAATAATAATACTACATATCCTGAGATCTAGTGGCTAGACACTCGCCTGCGGATCGGAAGGTCGTAGGTTCGGCTACTGGCGAAAAAGTGAAAAAGAAAAAGAGGGTGGGGGTAGCTTAAAAAAAAATGACCTTGGCTCCCATGTCGATCCAGCTTTGAGAGGGTACCAGGTACAGTCCTGGGAAGTAAAGGCGGCTGACGTGATGCTGACCACATAATCCACAAAGTGCCGTTTCAATTAATCAGGTACCGTCTCCACAGGGAAGGTTGGCTGCAACAGCACTCCAACACGCTCTGTCTCTTGTCCTGGTTGTACACTCTCTCAGACTGCTGCCTCTCCATCTCTCTGTAGTCCTCCCGCTTCTATCGTTGCCTACTCTTGCCTTCGACCTTTCCCTATAGAATGGGTTTAGAAGTGTATTATGTCTTTTAATGTGGCCAAAGTATTTCAGTTGTCTCTCTCTCTTTAAATTTCTTTCAGTAATTCTCTTTTCATTTGTAGTCTTTCCAAAACCTCTGTGTTGGACTGTTTCTGTGTCCATGAAATACGACCTGTTTTTCTGTATACCCACATTTCCACTGAATTCGATTTTCTAGTTGCTTGTTCATTGTCTACGTTTCTGCACCATATATCATGGTAAGATATAAAACCGAATGAAAAGTAGATCAGCCAGCTTCACAATATAACAAACAAGGCATTAACGCTGCGGCTATAGAGCCTTTATCGTCATATACAAAACAACACGAATATACATAATCACTTAACTTAGTATCAAGAAGCAGCCACGTTGAAATCTTGCCAGTTGAATAGACTTTTTACACTGAATTACACGTTGCTTGAGCATGACCGTCTCCATGGGGCTTAGGGCAGATGTCTTGAACGAAATTAGTTTCTAAAGGGAACTGATTATCTCCATCACACGTCACCTCTCCCCATTCTTTAACCATATTGTGATGAAGGAGAAATCATCTAGCAGAATTGGGTATACAAAACATTTGACAATTCTCAATTTTAGTGTGTTGTTTATCTCTCTAGCTGTCAGTAACTTGCGCGTCTTATAGAAGAAAGTTTTAGCCACTGTTATTCTCTTTGATTTCTGTTTCGCTTCTTCCATCATCTGTTGCCACGGATCCTATTTGGGAAAAACTTGTTACTTATTCTAATAGCTCTCCGCTTAATGTGATGTTCACTGTTGGCCGCTCTTTTCCATTGTTAATTGCCATACCGTTTGTTGTATAAAATATAGGTCTAGTCCTATATTTCCAATACGCCTGGAAGAGGGTCCTTTACTTTACTTACAGATCGTGATAAGAAAGCAGCAGAGAATCACCAAACTGGCATTACAAATTGGAAATAAAAGGGTTAAGGAGGCAAGGACGCCCAGAAGAAACCCTAAGGCGAACGTTGATGAAACTGAAAGGTCAAAGAGCTAGCTGGACTGGGAGAGTCCCTATTTGAATCCTCGGTAAGATTGGGGAATTTTGTTTCCAGTCCTGTACAGTCCGTGTCGACAGCACTAGCCATGCGGCCCTAAACTCAAAGACCCCTCTGCCCACACTGCAAAAGTGGTGAAGGCAGACAATAATAATAATAATCTGCGCGATCTCTCTCTCTCCCCCCCCCCCCCCCACCACACTGAATTATGAGAGCTGCAGTGGTGTAGTGACCAGACGCTCGCCTGCGGAGCGGAAGGTCGTGGTTTCGGGTCCTGGCGGAGGCCGGACTATTTTTTTCTTGAAAAAAGGACTCTGAATTTCACGTCGACCCAGCCTTGAGTTGGCACCAGGTACAATCCTGGCAAGTTAATAAGGCCAGCGTGATGCTGACTACATCACCCACTCAGTGCCGATTGGTCTATAAAATATAGGTCTATAAGCGATAAAGTACGCATGAAGGGATGGGGAAAAGTCCTTTTACGTGGTGCTTAAGCATGAACGTCTTCATGACGGTCATGGCTTAGGGCAGATTTCCTGAAAGAAATTAGTTTCCAAAGGGAACTGATTATCTCCCTCACAGGTGAGTTCTCCCCATTCTTTGACCATATTGTGATAAAGGGAAAACTGGCGAAAGTTGGAGATGGGGCAAGTCAGTGGAGACCAGGGTGGGGGGGGGGGGGGGGGGGCGGGGTGGGGGGGGGGGGGGTAGACAGATGAACAAAGTATGGAAACAATATGTATTAAGATGCTAGATAGTGGATGCAGTAGGCGATGGGACAGGCATCGATGACCTGCGCCATACAGGGTGGACTATAAGAAGAGTCGCCACCAAGTGCTTTACCGGCTGTTGTGGGCGATCCACGGGTGATCCTCATCCGCATGGTGGTACTTTGTATCACCGGGTGTTTATCGCTCTGTGTGACGTCCTTGTGGGGTACAATTAACTACTACTCCATTGCCGGAGGCCCTAGTTTAACCTAACAGTTGAACCGGGTTTCTGCTCGACCTTTCCACGGCTGATCCTCATCCGAATGGTTGCACTTTGTGTCACCAGGTGTTTATCGCTCTGTGTGATGTCCTTGTGGGGTACAATTAACTACTACTCCATTGCCGGAGGTCCTAGTTTAACCTAACAGTTGAACCGGGTTTCTGCTCGACCTTTCCACGGCTGATCCTCATCCGAATGGTTGCACTTTGTGTTACCAGGTGTTTATCGCTCTGTGTGATGTCCTGCTGAGTAAAAAAGTCAGCCAGTCAACGCGCCTGTCTAATAACCCTGCCTCAATATGGGACGCAATTTGTTTTATCAGAATACTGCGTCCCAAAGTCGGACACAATTTTTTTTTAAAGGCCCCCCCCCCCCCCCCAACACACATTACCTAACCTATGAGTTGAACAGGCTTTTGGGACCTATCCTCGGGTGATAGTCGTCCGAATGGTGGCACTTTGCGTCATCGGATATTTATTGCTTGGTGTAATGTCGTAGTGGGTTTGAACATCAGTCAATCAATCAAGCATGCCTGTCGGTGCAAAGGACTTCTAAACAGTGACAAAATTATCTGAGTTTCCTTGTCGACTCGATGAAAAATAGGTATAAGGAAATAACATGCTATAGTAACGACAGCTAGCAAGATGTTCCCCACAGTACGAATCGTGTATGGATTGGTCTAAAAAAAAAAATACTGAGCTAAACTTGATCAACATAATCACCATATACCAACTGCAAATCAGGGTTAAAACGGGCGCAAACATTAAATTCATGAATGTTACACATAAATGTAAGTCAATCGACCAATCATCCTCATCGAACTCGTCCATAAGCACTCAGATCCCATCTTCATTTTCTCTTTCAGGGTTGTGGCGACTGATAAAACTATTTTGGTGTTGGCTTACACTTCTTCTTTGGGTGCCTGTATAGTGTTTATGTCTGTCAAAACCTCTTTTGACATTGAGTTCTTGTAGTCTTGTCAAAGTTACAAATTCAACCTTTTCTCTTGAATCATCTACTGATCGTGCCTCACAGAGAGAGCATCGAGAACACGGTTCTTGCTTTTCATGTGCCTCCATTTATCGCTGTGAAGGGGCTCTCTCTTTTCAGATGTTTATAGGTTTGCCTTCAGCTGCCTCTGGACTTTAGCCTGGTTCCAGAACCTGTGTTGTGTGCACATCCATTTTACAGATCTGACTTATATGTTTTCTTCACAATGGGTCCCCAGAACCCACATGGCAAAGCTTAATAATAATAATAATCATATGTTGAATGACACATAAATAAAATTACAAGCTTGGAACATAGGAGCAGGAACATGGGAGCTCAGACAGATGGGTTGTGTCAGAGCCCCCTATGCCTTATCATGAGAAATTAGACGTAGACATTGATTTTATGAGAAGATATCAATTCAAAAACTTGGTAACAAATGACAAGACTGATGGGAAAAGAGCACAAGGAAGGCAAAGAGATGAACACCTGGATGGCTTGGCCAAATGGATGTGGCAAGAGAAAAACATTGGACTAATCTGTGATTGTAGTAATCATGTGAGATGGAGAAATAAGACTGCCTACACTTACTAGCACGGAACATGATGATGATTTGTCGAATAAGAAAGATAGTGAGGAATGGAAACACATCTCCTCACCTCACTATACTATGACTTGACTCAGGATATACCTCCCTCTTCTTCTTATGCGTTCATACTTTAAAGGGCAGTTGGCACGGCTGGGCTGTGATATCCGCAGCTCTCGCCTAATTCCAGCAAACCCCCTAATTATTCAAATGCTTATCAGGGGAGCAAAAGACCTAATACTTGACATGTTATCGCCAGTCTGTGCTTTAGAGATATATTCTTCTTCTTATAGTCCATAATGTGTGGTGTTGGTAGTCATGTCTATTCAAAACCTTTGGTCTTGAGTACTTCAGTCAGTGATTAGTGATTAGAAAGGATTATCATCAAAGCACTCCGGACAGATCCATAGGTGATCCGATCTCCTCCTCAAAAGCTCCACAAGTGTTAACCGACTGATGACGCCTGTTCTGTGTTGGTTAATGAAACGTCTTGTCCTCTTAGTGAAATGTTCATTTCTTGCAGCTCCAGGCTACAACTCCATGTTCAACAGTCTAGACAGGAATACGGAATCATGTCTTATGGTGTGCTCCTCGGTACGGTAAGTGCAGCACATGGTACTGATAACATTACTTCTGTCCAGTACTGGACCAGCCATAGCAACGGCAGTGTCAGCACGATAGTCTGCACGGTCATTTCCTTGAACACCCGCATGACCTGGCACAAAGATGAAGATTAGGGCAGCTTTTCATCTACAAAACCACATCTCTGCCCCTTCAAAAAATTTTTTTTCCCTAATCGTCCACGATTTAATTCCGTATATCAGGATAGGATTTACATAGCTCTTGAGAGTTTGTTCTTGTTCTGACAAAGAAAGATGGTATAGAACACATGGATATATTGTCTTCAATATATAAAGAAATGACTTTATGCTAAAGACTGCCTAGAATTTAATTTATAAAGAAATCTAAACACTTATTACACTAATAAACTGACAAATAAACTAGAGGTGGTGAAAACAGGGTTTCATTTTTAGAAGAACATTTAAAATATAATGAACAAAACATAAAATTTGTAAAACATTTAAACGTGTTTATTTCAAGTCAGACTATCAATTTATTTCCCAATTGATAACTAAAAGAAAATCATAATATGCAGTGAGCATGGGTGACATTGGTTCACCTTCTCATCTGAACCTTGGATCAGGTCTGTCATCTGGTCTATCCATCCACTAATTTATCTTCTTGTCTTACTTCTGCCCCCCCCCCCCCACACATCAAGTTCACCAGTTTTAACTCAATCTCCCCTCCCCCGTGTGGGTTCCGGGGAAAACAAGAATAGACCCACTGCCTCCCCAAAAGCATGTCGTAAGAGTCGACTAATTGGGGAGCTTCCTTTGAAGTCGGAGTGCATCTGCCGGAGAGGCAAGGAACTAACAGTCTGCATTCAAGAGAATGAGATCTGTAAAACTGATGCACACGCAACACTCAGCTTCTGGAGCAGGACTGCAGTTCAGTAGTGAACGAGCAACCAGAACTTTCCGCCAGAGTTTACAGCTGGTAAACGCGAAGAAGAAGAAGAAGAACTCAATCTCCTCATAAATGCCCAACTCTTCTTAGGGTTTATGGGTTCTAAACTTTTGTGGAAAGTTCTGGTTGTTCATCCACTTTTGAACTTTAGTCTTGTTCAAGAATTTGAGTTTTGCATTCATATCCATTTTACAGACTTGGCTTATTTGTATGCAGATTGTTAGTTCCTTACATCTCAAGCAGATGCACTCCAACTTCATAGCAAACACTCCTGATTAGTTGACTTTCACGATATGCTCGTTAGGGGGCAGTGGGTCTATTCTTTTTGTCAACAGAGAATAATCAATAAACATGAATGCAGTGAAGAATTAACCGGTTTTCATTTCAATGGGAATTTAAAAAAAAAATTTATTGGATCACTCATATTGTGACTGCATCAGAATTCAAAAGTCTTTGGCTAATTATGATGTCAAAATGGTTTTTAAATTCCATTTTGTTCATAATAAGAACACCCTAAATGCTATTTTAAATAAAATATTAATATCCTGAACTTCTGAATGCTGTATAGGATCGAACACAACAAATGGCCCTAATTATGCATCTTGGAACATGCTGCTGTAGAAATACGATATAAGTGGAATTTACAGGATTGAACTACTGTCGAATGTCCTGGATTCGTGGCTTATCAAGGAGAAAAGGTTAAGTATTTGTATGGCATTTTATGCCAATAGCATTAGAAGAGTTCTTTGATGCTTAAAATGTAGGAATTACTTCCTAAGTCCTTCTGGTAAACTTCTTCTTGTTCCCAGTTGTGGAGATGAAAAAAAAAGACAGCAAAAAAATATATTGCATAACTTGACTTGATTGGCACCTTTCTGTCTTGCCAGACAATGGTTTTATACTGCGCTTTGAGGAGTTATGGGACTCACTGCCCATGGCGATGTATTGCTCTGACTAGCAAGACCCGTCCGGCGTTAAGAAAAGTCTTCCACAATTATAGCATGGAATTTTAAGACCATTTTTGTCAACATCTGTGTTTAGTATGTTTCTTCTTAGATGCTCAACTCTCATCCTTTGTGCAATAATTTCTTCCTCCATCTGCATTTCCTTCATGATGTGCCCCCTCCACACAACACGGTCCGTGGCATTTTGTTCACATGAGTCCACCTCAATACCTGTATTCTGCATGTCCTACTTGCACACATCTTTATATCATAGTAGACGTCAGCCTTGACATCTTCTATCCATCTTTAATTCACCATAAAGGATGTCCTTTGGGACTCTGCCATCCTCCATTCTCCAGGTGTGACCCAGCCACCTGAGCCTTCATAGACTGAGCATTGCACAATTTACTGCCTGGTATATTTCACTGTTAAAAAAAATGTCTGTTCAAAATGGGGAAAATAAAATGGGATGAATTCAAAAGGAGTGAAGAAATAAGAGAAATATCTGCACAACCACTAGTATCAACAGTTATAAGACAGAGAAGATGGCGTTACATTGAACACATCCTGAGAAGAAACCCGTAGATTATTCCCAGACAGGCATTAAAATAGGAAATAAAGGGTTTAAGAAAGCAAGGACATCCAAAAGAAACCCTAAAACAAATGTTGATGAGAGAGGCCAAAGCTGCAGGACTAAATTCCATCCATGATATTGAATTGACTGCACAGGATAAAACAGAATGAAGGAACAGACTGCAAGCCTTATGTGACAGATAATAGCACAACAGGATAATGAATGAATATAATAAATACAGTTGAGTCCACTTATGTAGAACTCGGATAAGTCAAAATTCAGTTAAGTCGACATGACCAGCTTAGTCCCTGCAATTTTCTCTATTGTGTGTGCTGTCTGGATAAGTAGAAATCCTGATAAGTGGAAGCATTATCTTAGATCTCTGCGACTTCTACTTATCCAGACTCGACTGTATCTCATTCTATCTTGTCAGGTACACACAAGTAGAGTAAAAAAAAAAAAAAAAACTTTCTACGCCTACAAGCATATTGGGCATATAGTGCTAAAACTAAATTTTAGACATCAATCAGTATTTGGTGGGTGATAGGTACATACTAGAGTAACAAATATATCAATTGTTACTGAATGCATCTGAAGAGATACAGTGAAATATGTCAGATGATAAGTTGTGTAATCTATTGTTTGTGTCGTCTTTGTTCACATTCTTCTATTCCATTAATTTTGCCTAGCGCAGTTGTTACTTTAACCCTATCTGCCCTAGTTATTTTATTTGATCTCATTCCTTACAATTATCACCATCATCAAATTCCACTTTTTGAGTTAGGCGTCATTGGGAGAAGCATTTGTGATTCACTGCTTGATGAGCAGCTTTATCATTCTGTGTTGATGTAGAAGGTCTTTGATGACATCAGTCCATGTTTTCCTAGTGCAACCTCTTGCTTTCACATCAGACCTTTTCAAGCATAGCGTCTGTGTTGGTAGCTGCCCTGGCTGCATTCTAAGGATATGACCAAACCATCTGGTCTTCAGTTTTTCCAAGAATTTGGTGCATGGTGTTATTCCCATGGTCTGTCTGATAGCAATTTTTCTCACTTCGTCTCAAATAGTTAAGTTGGTGACTTTCCTTAGGCATGCCATTTGATCTCATTAACACTCTAATACTGTTATTCTAAAGTACATATTATTTAGGATATAAAATAAAGAAATAACAACTCCAGGGATTCAAAGAGTAAAATATATTTCAAATGTCTCCATATTTCTAGTCATCCTCTCTCACAATGAAGTCTTTATTTACCATAGCCGAACCAGGAGGTTCTGTGTGAAAAAACGGGGTTTTTGGTTTTCTTTTCCCCATAAACTGTAGAAATCTAGGCATCAAGGCTGGAGTGCGAAGATTCAGCCCTTTTCTTCCAGGAGTGTAAGCTTTAATCAGGACTTGGTTGTCTTTTCTGAGTCCTACAGAAACCCATCCTGTGAAGAGTACATTTTGAAGTTGGAATACAAAACAGTGGGAGTAGTAAAAGAGAGCAACAGAGCAAGAGGTAGGCAATGATTCAAACATTAGGTTAATATAAAGAAATGGATAACAGCAAGGAGTTTATTTGACAGCATGATCGAAAAGTTTTGGAAATTCATTACAGCCAACCTTGAGTGTAAAAAAAAAACACGTCAATATTTTTATTTTCTACTGCATTCACCTATAAAGTGTGGTTGGCTCAAAGTGTTTTGGTTTATAGTTAGGCTGTGATATCTGCACCTTTTGGCTCAACACGAGTGATTAGAAAACCATTAACTAGCTGCTTTTTACCACATGCTTGTTAAAAAGCGTTGGGTCTGTACCCCCCTTCCCTCCCACCCCCCAATAAAAAAATTAAAAAAAGACGGGGCACCAAAACCAACAAGAGAATATTATTGCCTGATATACTGGATATATTTATTCTTGCTTGTATTGAGATTCTACTTATTGTGTGTCTCTTTTTTCTTGTTTTAGTGAATGTTCCTGAACTTTGATGTCAATATTTTGATGTTCCCCGTTTATGTTCATGATTTCTGTTTTTTTTAATGTTTGAACTTCATGCTGTTCTTGAGACATCTATAGTGTACACAAGTAAAAAGGACCCCCCCCCCCCCCCCCCCCCCCCCCCCCCATGCATTTAAAAATATTCACAATATCTGAAATAGACCACACAATTTTCACTGTCTCTGGATCAAGTATGACTCTATGCCTCTCTGACAATGTTCATCCTCTGAAAAGACCTAATGATATCTATCTGATGTGAACAATCCTGCTCACCTCCATCTACCCTCTGCTATGCCAAGAATCAGAAACAAGAGAGCAGTGGCTCTCAACCTTCCTAATGCAGCGACCCTTTAAAACAGTTCCCTCATGTTGTGGTGGCTCCCAAACAATTATTTTCCTTCAATGAATATGTGGTCTTAGGTGACCTCTGTGAAAAGGTTGTTCGCCCCACACACACACAAAAAAAGTGTAAAGACAGGCAGGCTAAGAACTGCTGCAATAGAGGTATGCAGAGTCAGGATATCTTGTATCTGCTTCAGCCTGGCTAGTCACATAAAGAAGAAGAAATTAATGATGATGATTAAGACTAAGAAGAAGAAGAAGAAGAAGAAGATGATAATATGTAGTTTTAATTACTGCAGAACTAAGAAAGTAAAATCTCTACCACATTTAGTAAATAATTAACACATCAGATACACAGTTTCAAATTTACCTATTGAAGATAACTGGATGTCTGCTGAAGCAATATTTCGACCAGCAGCTTCAACTGTAAACTCCCTTCCTTCAAGCGGTGGAAGCTTTGATAGGCGCTCTTGATTACCAATGGGCAACTAAAAGTATATTCAGATTCACAGACTTTCATGGACCAAGAAATAGAATATTCTCATTCTTAAAGATCCTAACATAGAGGAAAATTTACTCATAAACAACTTCTTGACTCAGAAAATGAAATATATTGCAAAGAACAGTAACAGAGGGCATGGCAGCATGACAGTACAAACATGCTTGGCAGAAATGCTCAGACCAAAATTTTTAGACTTAGAACGTGACACTGTAAACTCAGAGCACATCTACATTGAATGGGTCTTGCTATCTCTTCTGCATGTGGTTGTGGCTCACCAAAGCATGTCTTATAGGACTGCCCAAACTTTGTCAATCAGACAGAAGAAATCTGATCCACAGGAGTGCCCCTACATGATAAACTATGGGCCACCAGTGAAGACCTCAAGCACACTGTCCTGTTCATAACCCATACTGGAATAGAGACATACCAAACATTGATCGCTGACGAAGAAGAAGAAGAAGAATGATGCTTGACAGTCTATGTTAAAACAACTCAACATATATTACTGCCAAACTGTCTGTGTTAGGATTATTTCTTAAACAGTAACCACAGTAGATGTGGTGTAGAGACTAGATCTGTTTCCCATTCATATGCAATCAATTAAAACAGCTGGATAAAGTGCAAGGTAAAATTTAACTAAAAGATTTTTCTGCAACTAAAACTTAATCATCACTGCTGTATATCATAGCCAATACACTAATACAATAATTGTCAAACTCAAATCTTAATGTGGGCAGTACTGTCCAAGGGGCTAGTTGGAACATTCAAGGTTGTAATAAGTTTTGAACTTCCATAAGATTTAATATCAACAAAGAGATGCAAGTCTACACACATGTCTGTATGCAGGTTCTAGCCAGGTGACCTAGAAGGCACAAAACTCTCTGGAAACCACCGATGCAAATACCATTTCTATAAACACATTTGAACCATAGAAACCTGTATGATGACAATGCTATGATGAGTCTGAAGAATTATTTTTACAACCATCCTATAATTTGACACGTAAAATGTTGCATGTCTTGTTTTTTCTCTTTCTCTGAGTAAATGGTACACCTCCTATACCGCTAAAATATGTGGGGAAATACAGTCCGATTGTATGACACTGACCACATCACCTACTGAATGCCGATGACCTAAACAACGATGGGACTCAGCACCATGTACTGTATTTTTCCGCGTATAAGACAATATGTTTTTTCAAATTCTTAAAGTTTAAAACTGGGGGTTGTCTTGTACATTGAATGTGATTAAAATATTTATTTTGGAACTTTCGGCTAAAAAAATTCAGGATCATCTTATACATGGAGAAAATAGAAAAACTGTGTACTTAAAATACGTCAATTTGTTGAAAAGTGCCTTTAAAAAAAAAGTGGATAACCTACAAACTTTTATTACTGAACACTACCTGTGTGCTCTCTCTCTCTCTCATACACAAATACATCACAAGCCGTCACATAAGACATCACAATGTACCCCAAAAGTAGCAGTTCCAATGTTCTCCTCATAAAACTGATCAGCTGCATCAGTGGCAACAATGTTTATGGGAATCGCTGGCCCAGCATGGACTGTAAATACAATAAGATCTTCTCCCTGTAGAACATACAAAACACTGCTAGAATACACAATAGCTTTATCACATTTCAGCTTCTGTCCACACACAAGTTGCAAACAAAATAATAATAATAAATAAAGAGTTTGGTAATATTAGAACTATAGTGCACACAAAATAGAGTTTAATCACATATTTCAGCAACAGTGAACACAAAAATTGTAACAATATACTAAAGTCTGACCATACTCAGGTTAGTACATACACACAAAAGATGTAAAAATACACTAGAGTCTGGTAATATTTAGGCTACACTGCACAGTTCAGTAGCAACAACATTTATGGTAACAGCTGACCCAACATGGACTGAGAATATCATAAGATCTTCTCATTGAACACTTAAAACACTGCCAGACAACGCAAGAGTTTCATCATATTTCAGTTACAGTGCACACACAATTTGTAAAAATATGTGACCATATTTCAGGTGTACTGCACACACAAAATGTAAGAATGTACTTCAGGCTCACCACATGCCAGCTTTAGCAAAGAGGCAAACAGTAAGAATACACTAGAATTTCACCAACATTTAGCTACACCACATATATGAAAAAGATAATACTCTACAAGATATTATACAGTGTACAAGCACTATAGCAGTGGCCAGGATCAAAATGTCTCTCTTCAAACCCCTTCAGACTTTCATACTTAATACTTTCAAGTAGAACTCTGTGGGGTAAAATTAGTAAACGAATAACTTCCAAGGATGAAAAAACTTAAACACATATTAGATCTGGCATAACTCCACATTACCTGCAAATAATCGAGTCTGGCCAGTCCTGACACAAATACTGTATCACCAGGTCGGACAAACAGGCATCGCGGGACAATCATCGAAGCAGGTGCTAACAATGGAGCTTCCTCTGGCGTTAGTAGGTTGACGATCTAAAGAAACGAAAGAGGGAATTTATAATCTGAACAAACTATAGTCAGGGAGTTTATAATCTGAATAAACAACAACAATCAGGGAGTTTATAATCTGAATAAACAGTCAGGGAGTTTATAATCTGAATAAACAAAAATCAGGGAGTTTTTAATTTTAATAAACAACAGCCAGGGAGTTTCTAATCTGAATAAACAACAGTCAGGGAGTTTATTATCTGAACAAACAACAGTCAGGGAGTTTATAATCTGAACAAACAGTCAGGGAGTTTACGATCTGAACAAACAACAGTCAGGGAGTTTATAATCTGAACAAACAACAGTCAGGGAGTTTATAATCTGAACAAACAACAGTCAGGGAGTTTATAATCTGAATAAACAACAGTCATGGAGTTTTTAATTTTAGATATAAACAATCAGGAAGTGAAAAAACATCAACAACAGTCAGTGTGTTAATAATAAGAAAAAAGAAATAGGAGTCAACACTCATGAATGTCTGAGCTCATTAATGTCTGTCAATTGTAGGAGAATTCATGAGACCATTTCTACTTCACTTCTGTCATCACTTATTACAATTGCGAGACAGGTGGAACTTGCTAGTGTCTTAACACCATTAACTTTTCGCTTACCCTTTTACTATAAAATCATCAGCTGGCAAATCAGAAGATAAGATCAATGACCGATGTAAGAGAGCAAACACAACTCACTGGGCAATGCTAAGAAAATAACACATGTCAGTAAATATCAAAAAGAGTATTCTTTAACACAATCTTCATGTAATATCAATGCCAGACCAGGACAATAAGAGAAAAAGAGAAAATAAATTACAACTGAAATGAGATTCCTGCAAAGGACTCTTAATATAATAAGAAGTGAGAAGATCAGAAACGATGAAATCCTAAGGGAAATGGCGGTAGTGGCAGCTGTGGATTTCATTAGAAAGCATGTGAAATGGTTTGGCCATATATCACAGATGCCAACAAGCAGTATACCACAGAAAGCAATGATGTACAGACCAGACGGGAAGCAAAAGAAGAGGTCGATCATGTAAACAATAGATAGAAGGAATAACAGAGTTCCTGGGAATTCCTATTCATGAAGCACACAAACAAGACCAATGTTCAGAAGTGGACAAACAACAAAGACTTTCTGCCAGAGTTTACATCCAGTAAACATTAAGGGGAAATTTTGTTTTGTTTTACATTCTTACTTCATAATTCTAGGTCGGGGGGGGGGGGGGGGGGGGGGGGGCCTGAGTGGTCTCAAGGTATGGTGTCTGCCTCGAATGCTGAAGATCACGGGTTCAAGCCCTGGTGAAGCCTGGGATTTTTTCACTATGACTTTTAATAATTTTCCCCTGGTCTCTGGGTAGAAAGATCGGATGCCCATGTGTATTCTTGCAAATGTAAAAAATTCCTTGGCAGCTAGAAATCGAAAAGAGTAGCCTAACGGCATTGCTTGGGAAAAACTTTGAGTTAACAATCTACCCAAACTATTCGTGCACCGCAGTGAGATTCTTCAGACTCAGGCTTAAGTTAGAAGTAGAATGGAGCAGTAATGGGTTACATCTGTGTGCCATGATGTTGATCTTTTGAATAAACATAAACATATCTTTCTAAAATAAATTCAATGACAGATTCTGCAATGTCCTACCTGATCAGGATTAATAATACCAGGTGTGTCATAGGTCCAGTAGCTTTCCTCATACTTCTCTGGCTCAAAGGGATTTGGTTCTGGCATTTTACACACCAGTGTGCCATCTCTTCTTGCATTATAGCCATATACCACTTGACCCCAAGCTGCGTCACCTTCCTCTGCCTTCCTCTGTGTGACTGTCCGCACATCAGTCATTTTGATCTCTTCTACATAAGAGTACAAGAAAGTAAACACAGCAGGTAGCTGTTAGATGAATTCCTGCGTATATAATAGGAAACATAAATCATCATTAATTTTAAAAAAAAAAATGCCATCTCCACTCTCATACTATGACTTTTTCTGCTTCTTTGCAATCACCGGCTGTAAACTCTGGCAAAAGGTTCTGGTTGTGTCCACTTCTGGACTTAAGTCTTGTTCCAGAACTTGCATTTTGTGCGAACATCTGTGTTTTAAAGATCTCAATTATTTGTATGTAGACTGTCAGTTCCTTGTCTCTCACTCTGACTTTAACGGAGAAAAAAGAACACATCGTCAATATTTAACAGCTTTTTGTCACGGCATGGCAAGATGTCAACAAATGAACAGACACATGTTGTTGGAGATCAAAAGATCTGTAGAAGTATGAAAAATATTTACTTGTGGTGGAGATGTGGTTTTTGAGAATGATGCAGAGAATATCATGGAATAATAGTTGGAAAAAAAATGATGCAGATCTCATCAACACAGATGAAAATCATGAATGGACTTAGGCATTTGGTAACAACTGGCAATACTGATGGAAAGAGAGCAAGCGGAGGGCAAAGAGATGGATATCTGGATGGCTCGGCCACGTGGAAGGAGCAAGACAAGAATACTGACATAATTTGTGATTCTGGTGATACTGAGAGATGGCGAAACATCACAGCCTTGGTCTACCGGAAAGGCACATGATAATGATGATAAGCATGAATACCCAAGCTAGTTGGCAAAGCATTTAATGAAGATGATAAGTCTGACATAAATATATTATAACAAATGTCGAGGAGGTGGCGGTCTGGCTCATAGTCAGTACCATTTCTAAACTGAAATACTTCAGCCACATTAAACATCATCGTGTGAGGGGAAAAAAAGAGAACTGACCCTGTGCCATCCTAACAAGCATGAGGTAAAGGTCGACTAAGAGGTGTTTTCTTCGAAGTCAGACTGCACTGCCTGAGAGGCAAGGAACCAACAGACTGCATTCAAATAAGCCAGATCTGTAAAACGGATGTGAGTGCAAAACTCAAGTTCTGGAACAAGACTTAACTCCAGAAGTAGATGGACAAACCAGAACTTTCCTCTGGGCTTTACAGCTAGTGAACACGAAGAGGAACAGCTGGCCAAACAGTTAGAATGCTCTGGTCTCAAGCGGGAGACCCAGATTTGAATCCTCTGTAAGGCTGGGGATTTTTTATGCCGCAGGCACACACAAAAATCCTACTCTACAGTCCAAAGTATGCAGTACTAGCCATGCGGCCCTAAGTCCTCATGCTCAAAGAATGCTGAATTCAGAATCTACATCACAGCACTCGGGACACTTTCATAAGTGCTCAGTCCTCATCTTCAGCAGCAAGCGAAGAGTTCTAATTCGGATGGTACCAGTGACTGTATATCCGTCTCATCCTTCCTCTGAGTGTTGAGCATCAGCCAGATCCCCTGGTAACTCCTCACAGCGCCATTCTCCTTAGATCATAATGATGTATCTGCGCCTCTGCACTGTTTACTCGCTCCTAAAGGGCCCTCACAATATCTAACTTGTCATACATCAATTCACCACCAAGTGGTGCAGAGCCATCCAGTCTATCTGCCTGCTCATTTCCCAGCACACCCGCACAACCTGGAGAAAATATCCAAAGAATGCCAACTACCCGGGACCTCTGAAGTGATGCTTGCCACTCTGCACAAAGCATGCCTTTTTTCACCCTTTTCAACACGCTCTATCAGTTACAATCACGGCATGTGTGTACAGCTGACTCTCAAGCCAGCGGAGACTGCCTCCACCTCATGCTCAAAGACCATCCCTACGCCATAAAATGGTAAATATGGGCAGTAATGGCCTGGCAGAATGCTTAGAAGAAGATATGATAATGGTTTAGAGAAAACAGAAGTGGAGGGTAAGGTTCCTGGAAGAAGTGACAGAGGATGACTAGTACAGTACTGGACACAGGGTATCAAGGACAACTTGAGCATGAAAGTTTCAAGGAAGGAAAGTTGACAGGGGACAGAGAGTAGCTTTCTGGCATGCCTTGAAAAGAGCAGAGATCTGCAAAGAACCTACTATATGATGACAAATAATCAACAAGTGAAGTTATCTGAAATACACAGTGGCCATAAGGCTGTAAAATAACCAGTCATTCAAATAAGAAACTCGGATGAGCTGAACAGGCTATTCCGTTTAAACAATGAACAATAAAATAAAAAATAAAAAAAGAAGAGTTGGTCACAAGAATGCATGTAAATTGTACGTACATAAAAACCTATCCTGTTTTTTTTACCACTTCTTCCTTTTTCTTTGCTACACTTCTATCTTTACATGTAAAAGGAAATTAAATTTGTCAGACATGTTCATAAAACTGCCTGAAAACTGAAAAGGATTATTCAATTATAAGTAACATTAACATGCCATTTGTGAATTAAAATCAAATTGTCCAGAAGCAGACTTTCAAAATGTGATATTATGGTGACTACAAATGCTAACATCTTTAAATAATTTATATGTTTAATTAATGATTAGGGGTAGTCAGTGACAGTCTTCTTCTTCTTCTTAAAGTTCAACAGCTGTAAACTCCAGTAGAAAGTTCTAGTTCTTCATACACCTCTGGACTTTTAGTCTGGTTCCAGAACCTGACGAGTGTTGTGTGCACATTCTTTTTACAGATCTGACTTATTTGTGTGCAGACTGTTTGTTCCTTGCATCTCAGGCATATGCATTCCTACTTCGAAGTTGACTCTTACAACATGCTTGCTGGGGAGGCAGTGAGTCTATTCTTGTTTTCCCCATAATGGGGCCCCTGAGTCCACACGGGAATCCTCTGCGACAGTCATCAGCCTTGTACTGGAATATGAACAGGCAGACTAGCTGGTTCTGCACCACCTGGTGGTAAACTGATGCATGACAAGCTAGATATTGTCAGGGCCCTTTGCCAGCAAGTAAACAGTGCAAAGGCACAGACAGAGCACCATGGTCTGAAGAGAATGGTACAAAGAAGAGTGACTAGGGGATCTGAGGCTCAACATGCAGGGGAGCGGCTAGATAGACTATTACTGGTATCATCGGAACTGGAACAATGCAGCTGTTGCTGAAGACTGGGACAGAGCGCTTATGGAAATATCCCAAGTGCTATGATGTCGGTTCTTAACTCACATTACATAACTCCTCTCACCTTTAAACACCTTTTAACTAAAGATTATGGCATGATGATATAATTTCACACACACAAAAATAAAATAAAACAAACTAACCTCAGCCTTTATTGGCTGTCTGTGGTTTACTAAACAATTTTATAATGTTCAGTAATTTGTCACTGCTTTCTGGATGGTGCAAAGCTCACACCACTGTTGAAATCCACTCAAAACAGCCTGCTGCCAAAACTGCTGCAGCAGACTTCAAACCTTGGTAGGTATGCTGAAATTATAAAACTGCTATCACAACCCCCAAGACTCAAACACTGATTATTTCTCTAAATGCCTTTACATTTACCTTTCAGCTCCCATGTTGAAGCTTCTGCTTTTCTCATTCTGGCAATTTTTGCTTCTTCCCTTCTGATAGCCACTTGCTGCCTCAGCCGTATGTTTCTAAGTGCAACAGTGCGCCTCTCTGGTCGCGTGATTGGAAATTTCAAGAGATTCAGCGTAGTTCCTGGACATCAAAAGAATTAAATATAGTTAATGTTTTAAACTGGAGAACAGCTGAAACAATTACTAATAAACTACAAACATTCAGTAGCTGGTGCCTGCACAGAATTAAAAAAAAAGTAAAGATCCCTTTTCACGCCTTTCGGCGCATCGGGCATATGGGCAGAGCGTCCCATATTTTTACAGACCATCAGCACTCTGTGGGTAATGTGGTCAGCATTACGCCGGCTGTCTTTACTTTCCCAGGACAGCCCAGCCTGGTACCCATTTTAGGCTGGGTCGACCTGCGACATCCCATACCACGATAAAAATCCACGCAGCCTGCAGTGGGTTTCGATCGCGGTATGCTGGCTTACGAGTCGGACTCGCAACGCCTTAGCCACGGACGCCGCTCTGCACAGAATAGAGGGAATTAAATGGTGTGAAAGAATCACTAACTTTGAGCTTTGCAAGAGAACTAAACAAGTTCCAGTGGACCAAGAGGTGAAGAATAGACACTGGCGTTGGACAGGACAAACACTGAGAAACCCTGAGAACAATATAACCAGAATGTCTTTGCACTGGAACCCACAGGGGCATAGAAATAAAGGTACAGCACATGGCCATTTATTATGCTTTAGGCAGGAATTGTACTCACAGTAAGGCCAGGTGAGATTGGCTGTATTGTGTAGTGTGAGTCAGCAAGTGATGAGAGAATCATTGAGAGACTAATGTTAGTTAGTAAACTCACAATCAATCATATCATTCACTGTAAATTCAACCCAGCAATGTGTATGCCATGAATAAACAAAACGGATGGCAACAGCACAACGTGATTCAAGTGTTAAGTTGTAGTCAGGTCCAGTAGTGGGAAAGTGTATGATATACCACATTGAACCTCTATTCTACGTGTTATTATATGTTACCTGCGGAAGGGGATTGGAACTGATCGCAATACCCAGGGACATTTAGTGATGATCTATATTCCACCTACTCCCCATACCTCCCAGATGCTACTGTGATAAACACTTTTCTAGTCTCAGTTGTTAGATGCCCCACTCTCATCCCACGCTTCCCTGGGAGAGACCCTCAACATGTGATCATTAGAGGTAGTAAGGGTCCATGTTTGACACTGGTAAAATGAAGCTGACCAAACATTAGTTCTAGTTACTTGATCATACTTTTAAAGATAATTTCTAATGTCTCGCAAACGTGTCAATCATTCGTTTAGTCTCTTACAAAACTCTCAAGTAACACAGATTCAATATTGACAGAATTTACGACAATGGTCTCCAAATATTTCAATGTCTTTCTTTGCAGACGTTATCTACCATCTTCTCAAACATGCATGGCTGAATGCCTACAGTGAGATCTTCTGATGACCGCAAGTGCTTGTTTACTTCTTAACGGTTGCTTTGTTAAATTCTGCCACACATGTGACTATACCTTCCATACCTTTGAAACAGATCCATTGTGAAGGACTTCATCTTGACTTTTGTTGCATTCTTCTAAAACACCCACTTATCCTGCACTGACATATTACTCTCCAAATCTGTAGTAAAAGGACCCTTTTCTATGCCTTTAGGGGTATTTGGCATATAGGAAGCTCCCCATCAGTCAACTCCTACAACATTTTTGGAGAGGCAGTGGGTCTATTCTTGGTTTCCCCATAAAAAGGTCCCTGGAACCCACACTGGGAAATGCTTTCTGTTGAGTGCCTACTGATTCCACCATCTATTTTTTTTAACACACACCTGTGACTTATTTTTTAATTTTTTTTTAAAACTTAACTGTTCCCCTATAATCTCAACTTCCTGCTGCAGTTCTTCTGTTTCTCTTTATATTTTGGTGCTATAAATTATGAGGGGACTTCAAATGAGAGCATTAAGAGTGTGATAGAAACTTGTCAATATTGTTATAAAGATGTAAAGAGTACTAAGCATGCGACATCACAGTGCAGTCGAACATGGCAATGTTATAAAAACAGTTTAAAGATCGCCCTCACACTTTTGACATGCACCGTTCTGATATCTGTTTTTGTATGGTTATTGTAATTTCTGTCATACTTTAAAGGTTTCTATTTGAAGCTCTCTTGCACCTTTTTCGCCTACCTGTCGTCTCCAAATGGAGCCCAGATCCCCACAAAATTATCGACAAACTTTCGTATCTTTTGCCTTATCCTGCCCCGTCTGTACAATATTATTCTGTTTCTTAACCCTCTTAGCACGGACGGGCCGATTATCGGCCGGCGGATGTCTGGCCAAAAACACGGAATGGCTGATCATCGGCCCGATCGTGCTTCGCCTCGAACCGCTAAGAAATCTCCTACTTTGAAACACTGAAAGTGATTCATTTATATTCAGTGCTGTATTAACTTTACCCTAAACTTGATGTTGATAAAACATTTGAATCAAGTGATTACACTAATTCTGTTGATACTGATGCAGGATTTAGTGTTAGTAGTAATAGTGGGGAATCAGATGGGGACGCTGTTGTGTTCAAACGACAGTCCAACCATGGCGTAGGGTATATCCACCCGAAGGTGTTGACACTCCGGCACATCCATTTCTTGTGCTGAGTGATAGTGAAAAACATATGTCACCTAAAGATATTATTGCTGTTTTATATATATATATATATATATATATATATATATATATATATATATATATATATATATACCTGTTTTTGACTATTGAATTGCTTACAACACTTGCAAAAAGGCCAAAGATCAATAAAAAGATTTCAAATTTTAAAAAAATTTAGTTTTCAGTTTTATGTTTCAAGCATTGAAGTTGAAAATTCAAATTCAAATTTTCTATTTTTAGATATGCAAATGAGATAATTTGCATATACATCAATAATTTTAACGATATTGTGAAAATCATGAACTTCAATCTATATCCTTCAAATAGATATATTATTTCATGGGGGTCAGAATAACAGAAATGTGTCAAAAAAATTAAATAAAGTAACAACCAAATTCACTGAAAAAATGCTCTGTGTTTTTGGCTAGACATCTGAAAAACTTCCCGTGCTAAAAGGGTTAATCTCTCCTCAGCGTGTTTTTTAGGTTTCTCTGCATTTCCTTTTTGGGTTTCAGTGCAAAAACTTTCTAGTTATACTAATAAGTTATCAATGTCCTATCCAACACCACTGTCTTTTCCTCACTTCATGATTCCCTAAGATTTGTTCAAATGATTTCATGAGCTCCACAATAGTGGTTCTGTCCTACCATAATTTATAACTGATTCTTATAACTACGTGATGTGTATATTTTGTTTATGTCTATATACTCTGTGACAGCAACATTACTACTTCTTCGACTTTTCTTCTTATAGTTACTTCGGTAAATGTATATTTAATCTACTCTACTTAAATGTTGTGCTGCTCAAGGATACGATTTGCCTCAGACTTAGACGTGCAAAATACGGTGCAAAAGTGGCTTTACGACCAAACAAAATATTTTTTGGGGGGGGGGGGAAAGAGTGGTATGTAAGCTTGTTGACCGTTGGGTAAAGTGCATTGACAAGGAGGGAGATTAAGTAGAAAAATTATGTGAATAGTGGCACCCTAGCTTCGTGTCAATAAATTGTAGAATGAAAAGTCTATACAATTTTTGACTCTCCCTCATACATGACATGTAACAATTAGCAGTTTGTGAAAGACAGAGAAAATAATAATTTCTACATTGTTAGATTTTATCATTCATAACTGTTTACCTGGCCATGCAGAAATTGTTGCTCGCTGAATCAGATCTCTGGCTGAATTTTTGCAATAATCTGAAGCGAGCAATGTGTTGAACAGGGATGACTTTCCAGCATTGGCAGTACCAACTATGAACACATCAACTGGGTGAATGAAATCAAAAGAAAACAATGCAACAGATATGAGTACATGAATGTACAGAGTGCTTGCCTGCTGAAAAAGTGGTCAGCGTTCTTCTTCTTCTTCTTCTTCTTCAGTGTACACCCTGAACAGGGCAGCTGGCACACAGTGATATGGTTTACAAGGCTGCAATATTTTGAGAAAACCTAATGGGGAGATTTGATTTGAACCCAAAACTCCTCAGACTGGTAGCCAAGAATCTAGCCATTGTGTTACTTCGGCTCCTATAATACAGTGGTAAAGTAATGAATAACCTCAGATATACATTAAAAACTACCCTTACTATATATATATATCTTATCTCTCTCTCTCTCTCTCTCTATATATATATATATATATATATATATATATATATATATACATACATACATACATATATATATATATATATATATATATATATATATATATATATATATATATATATATATATATATATATATAGAGAGAGAGAGAGAGAGAGAGAGAGAGAAGAGAGAGAGAGAGAGAGAGAGAGAGAGAGAGAGAGAGAGAGAGAGAGAGAGGATCAACTTCACTGCACTGTTTTAGCCTATATGGCTCAGTCTCTCTCTACAGGCTGGCTAGCCGTCTACCAAGAGTGTCGCATACAAGAACAAACCCTGCAGCATCCAGTGACAATCATCATGGATCTCCATAAAAATTGCACTCAGTAACTAAACGGAATAGCCGTGAACTGAACCAACGGCCTTCAGAGCACAAAGCAAACAGCTTGACCCCTTCACCACGGAGACCATTACTGTCTGTACTTACCACTTTTGTGGTGTAGAAAAAGGTAGGGGTGTCCTGCCTGAGGGTTTAGGGTCGCAAAGCTAGTGCTGTCGCCACACACTGTGCAGGTAGGGATTTTATATTTGCTGCTGACAGAAAAACTCATAACCCTACCAAGGATTCAAACCCAGGTCTCCCACTTGAGAGCCCAGCATCTTAACCGTTGGACCAACTACTCCTCTCAGACATACAGATGGTATCAAATATGAAAGTGTACTCCTTCTTCTTTGTTGACAGACTGTAAGCTCCAGTGGAAAGTCCTGGTTGTTCATCCATTTGGCTTTGTGCCAGGGCCACAGTTTTGAGTGTACATCTTTTTTACTGGCTTAATTGTGTACAGCTGGTTGTTCCTTGCCTCTCGGGCAGATGCACCCAGACTTTGAAAGAAGCCTCCATGGATCACTGTCTGCATTTTGCTCGCCTGTCTTCAACTTTTCCATCCAGTATGTTTTTTATAAGTGCTGTGTCTTTTACACGTGTGATATGGCTAAAATGTTTAACCTGTCTTTTTTTATTTTCCACCAGTTAACTCTTTTTTTTATTCCTAGAGATTCAATACCATTTTCTAGTTGCCTGTTTACTGCCCTGGTCTCTGCACCATACAGCGCGGTGCAACACGTCCAGGAAAGGACAGTCTCACAGCAAGATATATTCTGGGATCTGATCAGCATGAAGACACTAGCAGAGAGCTGTCTGGCTCATACTTAATTTATATGAATGTTTGCTGAATTTGCAATATCCAACGACTAAGTGAAAAATAGTGACCTGGTCTGTTCTATTCACAGGTTTGAGGAAATGTTTGTCATGATTATATTTAGTGTCAAAAACTGAACAAAGTATAAAAGAAATAGAATATTAAAAAAAAAAAACCACACCCACACATGAGAGAGAGAGAGAGAGAAATTACTGAACTGACAAAGTCACTTCATAATAAAATGGTATACAAGGCATACATACTGTTCTATTCAGAGGTTTAAGGAAATGTTTGTCATGGTAATATCCAATGTCAAAAACTGTACAACGTATTAAAGAAATGGAATACTGAAGAAAAAATAATAACAGAAAAATTATTGAACTGACAAAGATGCTTCATAACAAAATGGGCTACAAGGTATACATACGTTTTTTTGTGTAAAATGAAAACAGCTGGTTGATGAGTCTTTCGATTCCAAATCCTGTTTTAGCACTAATGAGTGTGCACTTGAAAATGTTGTGCAGCCCAACACTCTGACATGCCAGTTTCAATTCTTTTTTAACATTTTCTAAGTATTCTGGACAATCTGGGGCCAGTAAATCAGCCTAGGAAGTACAAATAATAAATGAAGTCAGAGCACACACAACACTCAAGATGTATCAAACATTTCTGCAACATATTAACAAAACTCAGTCCCCTCCCCCCCCCTAACCCCAGTGCGGGTTACTAGGCCCTATAATCGGGTGGGAGATAGACCATCCTCCCACTGCCCCTTTGCAAGCATGTCGTAACTAATTAGTCTGCTTACAAAGTCAAGTGCATCATATCTGTAAAACTGATGTGCACATAAAGCTTAAGATCTGGAACAAGTCCAAAAGTGCACGAGCAGCCACAACAAGCTGCTGGAGTTTACAGCCAGCAAACGTGAAGTAGAGCTGAGTTGAGTTAAGAATTGAAATCACAGCACTCGGGGTATTCCCGTATGTGCTCCATCCCCATCTTCAGCAGCCAGCGCAGAGTTCCAATACTAACAGTACCAGTCGTAATCTGGTTATATGTCCGTCTTGCCTCTCCTATGAGTGCAGTGTACTGGCCAGACCCTCTGGTCACACCCAGGTGCATGAACGTGAAGCAGAAGAATAACTAAGTTATTTTATAACAAACACAGTTTCCCAGTCAGCATCATTATCATCAGTTTCCAATTTTGCTTTTCAACGTCGTGGTGGAGGAACAGTTTGTGATCCCCTGCTTGATGGATAGCAATGGCTATTGTCCTTCTGTGTTGTTGTGGAATGTCTTTAACATAATAAATACATCTTCCCCTAGGGCAGCAGTTCTCAAACTGTGGGCCGAACAACCCTTTCACAAGGGTCGACTAAGACCATCGGGAAAAACATAATGATTGAAGTTATGAAGTAGCAATTAAAATAATTGTATGGTTGGAGGTCACCACAACATGAGGAACTGTATCAAAGGGTCACCACAACATGAGGAACTGTATCAAAGGGTCGCCACAACATGAGGAACTGTATCGAAGGGTCGCCACAACATGAGGAACTGTATCAAAGGGTCGCCACAACATGAGGAACTGTATCAAAGGGTCGCCACAACATGAGGAACTGTATCAAAGGGTCGCCACAACATGAGGAACTGTATCAAAGGGTCGCCACAACATGAGGAACTGTATCAAAGGGTCGCCACAACATGAGGAACTGTATCAAAGGGTCGCCACAACATGAGGAACTGTATCAAAGGGTCGCCACAACATGAGGAACTGTATCAAAGGGTCGCCACAACATGAGGAACTGTATCAAAGGGTCGCCACAACATGAGGAACTGTATCAAAGGGTCGCCACAACATGAGGAACTGTATCAAAGGGTTGCCACAATATGAGGAACTGTGTCAAAGGGTTGCCACAACATGAGGAACTGTATCAAAGGGTCGCCACAACATGAGGAACTGTATCAAAAGGTCGCCACAACATGAGGAACTGTATCAAAGGGTCGCCACAACATGAGGAACTGTATCAAAGGGTTGCCACAACATGAGGAACTGTATCAAAGGGTCGCCACAACATGAGGAACTGTATCAAGGGCTCGCCACAACATGAGGAACTGTATCAAAGGGTCGCCACAACATGAGGAACTGTATCAAAGGGTCGCCACAACATGAAGAACTGTATCAAAGGGTCGCCACAACATGAGGAACTGTATCAAAGGGTCGCCACAACATGAGGAACTGTATCAAAGGGTCGCCACAACATGAGGAACTGTATCAAAGGGTCGCCACAACATGAGGAAACTGTATCAAAGGGTCGCCACAACATGAGGAACTGTATCAATGGGTCGCCACAACATGAGGAACTGTATCAAAGGGTCGCCACAACATGAGGAACTGTATCAAAGGGTCGCCACAACATGAGGAACTGTATCAAAGGGTCGCCACAACATGAGGAACTGTATCAAAGGGTCGCCACAACATGAGGAACTGTATCAAAGGGTCGCCACAACATGAGGAACTGTATCAAAGGGTCGCCACAACATGAGGAACTGTATCAAAGGGTCGCCACAACATGAGGAACTGTATCAAGGGGTCGCCACAACATGAGGAACTGTATCAAAGGGTCGCCACAACATGAGGAACTGTATCAAAGGGTCGCCACAACATGAGGAACTGTATCAAAGGGTCGCCACAACATGAGGAACTGTATCAAAGGGTCGCCACAACATGAGGAACTGTATCAAGGGGTCGCCACAACATGAGGAACTGTATCAAAGGGTCGCCACAACATGAGGAACTGTATCAAAGGGTCGCCACAACATGAGGAACTGTATCAAAGGGTCGCCACAACATGAGGAACTGTATCAAAGGGTCGCCACAACATGAGGAACTGTATCAAAGGGTCGCCACAACATGAGGAACTGTATCAAAGGGTCGCCACAACATGAGGAACTGTATCAAAGGGTCGCCACAACATGAGGAACTGTATCAAAGGGTCGCCACAACATGAGGAACTGTATCAAAGGGTCGCCACAACATGAGGAACTGTATCAAAGGGTCGCCACAACATGAGGAACTGTATCAAAGGGTCGCCACAACATGAGGAACTGTATCAAGGGGTCGCCACAACATGAGGAACTGTATCAAAGGGTCGCCACAACATGAGGAACTGTATCAAAGGGTCGCCACAACATGAGGAACTGTATCAAAGGGTCGCCACAACATGAGGAACTGTATCAAAGGGTCGCCACAACATGAGGAACTGTATCAAAGGGTCGCCACAACATGAGGAACTGTATCAAAGGGTCACCACAACATGAGGAACTGTATCAAAGGGTCATAGCATTAGGAAGATAGTTTAAAGCAGCAGCTCTCAACCTTTCTAATGCTGTGACCCTTTGATACAGTTCCTCATGTTGTGGCGACCCCCAATCACACAATTATTTTCGTTGCTACTTCGTAACTTCAATGAATGTATGTTTTCCGATAGTATTAGGCGACCTCTGTGAAAGGATCGTTTGACCCAGAAAAGGGTCACAACCCACAGGTTGAGAAATGCTGGTTTAAAGATCGGCCATGCAATAATATTTCTAGTAAGAAATTAGTTATAAATGTTAAATTCCTTATGCATCCGAGCACATAAATGCGCTGTGTTCACTTACAACATAGCTGTGATATTTGCATCTTTCGGCCAACACATCCAACTTCTGCAGGCATTTACTGCCTGGGCTAGTCTTTCCGATTAGTTTTGTGACACACAGCAGTCTTCTTGTTGTAAGTGGTCAAGTTGTTTTATTTTCATAGTCCAGTGGTGGTGCCCCCCCATCAGGCTGGTCCAGAGCAGCCCTGTAATGCTGGTCAGCCCTCAAGAGAAGGCAAGGACAAACATGAGCATTCCCTGCCATCCAAGGAGGCTTTCATAAATGCAGAGCCAATACATAATGCTCCGGTACATGACGGTTCAACCCCAATTTTGTATACTCAGCCTCTCATCATGAACAGGTCTTTGGAAGCCAGAAGAACAACAAAAACAGTAATAGATGTAATCTGTGCAAGAAAGTAAGTAAAGGACCCTTTTCTCACCACTGGCGGAAAGAACATATAGTGCTACACTTATATTGTTAAAGACCAATAGGCACTGGATGGATAATATGGTTAACATTGTTCTACCCACCTTTACTTTTCAGATTTTCAATTTTCGGCTAAATTAATTACACACATCAACACAAAAGAAACACACAAAAATGTCACACTGCAAAAATACACTAGTTGAGTATATGAAGCTGTAAGTACCACCATGACCAAAGCACCAACATCTCACCTGACACCTAGTATTAGGCTAATACTCAAAAGGCTAAACTGAGAGAAGCAGGTGTTGCAAAAGCAGAAAAGAAACTGGGAAACTTTAGAAGAAAAGATGAGAATGAACAGAAATAGTTCCTACCGCTAATAATATTAATAATCCATACCCAAAAACGCAGACTCCACTTTGTGTGTGAAAGAATTTAAAAAACAACTGATTTTACTGCTTCTATGTACCACTTTTTTCAACATGGGTCTCAAGCCTGCAGATGTAGGACTGCAAGGATATTGCAATTGTAGGTTAAGACTATTCTTGGTCAGCTGCTCTTATTTGAAAGAATAAAATGTCATTTTGAAAGGTATTTTCTAACCCTTTTCACACCTTTAAGTGCATCGGGTATATGGGAAGAGCAGCCATATTTTTACAGACCAATTGGCACTAGGTGGGTAATGTGGTCAGCATTACACTGGCCGTCTTTGCCTCCCTAGGACATACATCCTGGCACCCATTTTAGGCTGGCTCGACCTGCGCTGCCCCATACCATGATAAAAATCCACGCAGCCAGCAATGGAATTGAGTCAGGCTAAGCCATGGACGCCGCTTTTGAAAGGTATGAGTTATAATTCTAAGACAAGATTTTGAAAAAGAAACATGGCCACAAAATTTATAAGACGTGAATATTAAAAAGGCAAAAAAAAAAAAAATGCACAATGACAATTAAGGCCTTTATCTATCAATATAAACTAACCTTGTTTCCTATTATAACAATTAGGGCCATTATCTATCAATGTCAACTAACCTTGTTTCCTATTATAACAATTAGGGCTGTTATCTATCAATGTCAACTAACCTTGTTTCCTATTATAACAATTAGGGCCATTATCTATCAATATAAACTAACCTTGTTTCCTATTATAACAATTAGGGCCATTATCTATCAATGTCAACTAACCTTGTTTCCTATTATAACAATTAGGGCCGTTATCTATCAATGTAAACTAATCTTGTTCTGATTATAACAATTAGGGCCGTTATCTATCATTGTAAACTAACATTGTTTCCCAATATAACAACAAGGGCCATTATCTAACATTGTAAACTAACCTTGTTTCCCACGATAACAAGAGGATGCTTGTTCCCGATGTACGTCAGCAAGTCAGGTATAATGCTTCCCTGTATGTCCATCACATCAACCACCATAACAACTACAGACCGTGTGGGCTTTATTTTTGAAATCATTTCTGCAAACTCCTCTGGCTTGGCACTGACTTCAACAAATGCATCACAATGGCGAATATAGTAACAACGTTGGCAAAGGGAAACTTTCAATTCCTTTTCAGACAGCAGTTTGAAAAGTTCGCTTGGTAAAAAGCCAGGGAAAGTGTTGTGCTGGCAGTGTAAATGAGCGCCACATCCCACACAGGGAACATTGCTGGCAGGAATGCTCTGGTCCTCGGTTCCATGAACAGGTGAAGGTTTAAAAGTTGAGGTATTAGTGAGGTCTTGTTGGAACACCACAGACTCAACAGATCTGTCATTTTCTGGAGCTTCAGAAAACGTCAAGCCCGCCTGTCGTGAGACAGGAGTTTCTGGTTCAATTAATGTATCAACCAAATCAGCTGACAGCTCCTCCAGTCTCCTTTTCTGCACTTCTGGTGAAAAAGAAGCATTTGCAGCACCATCTGTGCATTTTGCACTTACACTGTCTGCAACATTCTGTTGGTTATTTTGTTCTACAATTTTCTTTGCCAGAAGAGAAAATTCATATGGCCTCGGTTTTTCCACATGTTCTTTGTTTGCCGGTTCTGTTATAAGTTTTTCTCCCATTTTTATAACAGAATAAGACATGCACACACTAGGATTTTCAATGCAAGAAGACAGCAGATAGTGAACTATAGTCTTCGAATGCCATCTTCTTCTGTTTAAAATATGCACTAAACGCATCATCTGGGCATGCATTGTGAAGCTGTTATCTGTAAAATAAACAAAAATAACTTGAATAATATACAGTGTGGGAGCTGCAGTGGTGTTGGCGGCTAGATACCTGCCTGCGGAACGGAAGGTCATGGGTTTGTGTCTTGACGAAGCTGTACTTTTTTCAAACATGACCTTGACTCCCAGATCGACTCAGCCTTGCGTGAGTACGAGGTACAGTCCTGGGAAGTAAAGACGGCTGGCGTCAAGTGCTGATTGGTCTACAAAAATAAAGGTCTAGCCCTATATTCCCAATACGCTTAAAGGCATGGAAAAGTTACCTTTACTTTTTTTTTTCTTTTTTACATACAATGTGCATTTTTACATAATTTAACATTTATTTCAACATGTATTTGGAAAGTTTCATCTAGCTGAGTTTGTGAAAATTCTTCAAGTTTTTTTTCTGTTTCCATTATTCATATTACTTGACATTAAAAATTAATATCTCAGCTTAAAATTGACAATTTTGAATGAGGTAGCGTTATAATTAATTTTCTGAGTGTAATCCAACTATGCTTATGCCGATCTGATGCTTTGCTTAAAAAAAAAATAGTCACGTTCAACCAGCATTCCTGAAAGGAGAGGTTTAGGTTATAATTGTGACTAGGTTCTGTGTACAATTTAAAATTAGCATTGCATGCCATCAAGAGTGATGTAATAAAAGGAGACAGACCCAAATAATGTCTTGAAGGGCAATGAAGTCGTCTACCGGCCAGCTAATGGGCGACCCGGTTGCCGATGATTGCTTATGATGATGACGTTAACCCCACCAGGACATCACACCAAGCGAACAAACAGCCGGTGACAAAAAAGTGCCACCATTCAGATGAGGACCATCCATGGACAGGTCCCAGAAAGCCCGTTCAACCCAAAGGTCCAGTTATATTAGGGCCACTGGCAACAACCAGGATGGGGCTTTAAAACAACAAAACATTGCATTCGACATTGGGGCGCAGGCTTAATTTAAATGGGTATGCTAGGTATGTATGTATGTAAGTTGTACCCCACTAGGACATCACACAAGTGATAAACACCCAGTGAAACAAGGTGCTGCTATGTGGATGAGGATCACCTGTGGAGAGGTCCCGGAAACCCCATTTAGTTTTCAGTGGTTAGGCCATATTTAGGGCCCCTGGCAAAAGGTAGGGTGGGGCTTCAAAAGGCTCTCCTTTGATCTTCGTCCCCATATTATGGCGACTAAACAAATACCCTAACAGGGCCTCAGTCCTATGCAAAATGAGGAGTTCCTGCTGAGGAACAAATCGTGGCAAAACTAGGATCGGCTCTCAATAATGAAACAAATGCTCTAACAGGGACTTAGCGATGTTAATTGTGGACCTGTTTCTGCAACTATGCCGCACTGCCAACAGTATCCCCAGCGCCGCGAGTAGTGGCGCAGATGGGTGGAGAGGTAAACTAGATGGCTGGACTCACGAGCAGCAGCTACTGCATCTCCTGCAACTTCCTCCAATTTATTTGCTCATGAATCCCAGGCATCTAGTTAAGATCTCCATCCACGCCGCACGTAGCGGCGCTTGGGATACGCTCGGCGGTGAGTTTAATCGGAAGAACACTATCGCTAATCTGGGTCAGAACGTGTGGTCTCCCCGCCATATTGCTATTATCACCTGTAATGTTGCATGTCTTGAAATTGTCAATGATTGCTAGTATCGTCTGCTAATATTGTCTGCAGAAACGTTCAAAATTGTCAACAGTCGCTATTACTGTCTGCTACTATCGTCTGCAGTGTTGCGTGTCAAGAAATTGTCAAGTAATCCTAGTTTTGCCACGATGTGGTCGTCAGATTAAGTCCGCATTTTACACACAACTGAGGCCCTGTTAGGGTATTTGTTTGGCCACCAAAATATGAGTATGAAGATTGAAGGAGAGCCGCTTCAAAATAAAGAAAATCTGAATCTTAAAAGGGTATGGCAGGTTAGTATGCTAGGTAAGTAGTTGTTTCCCAACAGGACATCACACAAGCGATAAATACCCGATGACACAAAGTGCAACCATGGGGGCTCTCCTTGCAATAACGGTTGCTAGTTGGACGGCGACGGCCGCTTAGTCGGAGTTCAGTCCCCTGGCTGCAGTGCAATTACGGAGTGGAAAAGAGGGAACGACACAAATGACATAATTAGGGCTAGGGGTAGGGTTAGGCTAATGTGAGTCGCAGCGCGTGGTCTAGACGCCATGTTGAACTCACTGTGTTTTGTGATTCGTGCCTTGTCCACTCCGTAATTGCACTGCAGCCAGGGGACTTACCTCCGATAAAGCAGCCGTCGCCCTCCAAGTAGCGACCGTTTTTGCAAGGAGAACCACCATGTGGATGAGGATCACCATGGAGAGGTCCCAGAAACCCAGCCATTAGATTTATCAGGCTATATTGCGGCCCCTGGCAAGGGCCAGGGTGGGGCTTCAAATAACGAAAAATTGCATCTCACAAGGAGATGGCTGAATAACGTCTACGAGCTATGAGTGTGCTAAGTGCGGCTCAGTAGTAGCCATATTTGTAATTGATTGAAAAACTAAAATGAAATAATTTACAAAATTTGACTACAGTACTACTAGCGACTACGGTGTTCGGCAATTGGCGGTCTTTTGGCAATTTCCGTTACCATGGAAACCGTTTGAAACTTGCTTCGCAAATGTCGGCTGGGGTTTCGGGATGGGTCCTAATCTCTCATGAAATTTCGCGATTGGTGTGATTTTCACCCACTATAAAAAGTTGAAAACGGCGGGAAGGAACCCGATTAACAGCGCATGTGTACGACAGCCGGACGTCCTCTGTTTTTCTGTTACATCAGTTTGATTGAAAATAGCGATAAGTATTCAGGGTTGGCTTTAGGCTTTAACTGTTACTGGTCCTGGTAATGCTAGTTATAATTGAATTATCCGTCCAATTTTACATTTGTGTATAACATTTCTTTCTGAACCGTGGCTAGGCAATTGCTGGCTCAGCCAGTGGCTGTGTCTCATTGTCTGCCATCTTGTCCAATGACAGTCTAATTTAAACAAAGCAAAAACGATAAGTGCGCAGTTTGGTTGCGCAGAGAAAACCTTGTTTCTAAGACGCAAGTTTTAGCAGCTGCTTTCTACATCTCATCTCCGCAAAAACCTAAATATTTCAGCTCAGAAATGACATACAAGCCTAAATGAGGTACCGTTGGAAAGAGATTGTTTACAGCTATCTAACTGTGCTGGTTTTATTGGTGTAGAGGGCATTTTGAAAATTTGACTAAAGTACCTAGTACGGCGCTCCTTTGATTCATTCCCCAAAATGGCGGCATGCCACATTCTGGCCATAAAATATCCAAACGACAGTGTTCGCGTATATCTAAAATACGGACTGTCTGCCAAGGAACAAATCGCGGCAAAACTAGGATTACTTGACAATCAATAACATTTGCACACGGTACTACTAGCAGACGATAAATACCGACCGTTGACAACAATTTCGAGCGTTTCTGCAGACGATACTAGCAGACAATATTAGCGACCGTTGATTAATTTCGAGACATTACAGACGATGAAAGCCGATTAGCAATACTGTGTTCTTCCGATTGGAGGATTTAGCAGCGGTAGATGTCAGACTTGTTGGCATGCGCCAAACGCGAGTAAACTCATCACCGAGCGTATCCCCCGCGCCGCTACGCGCGCCGTGGATGGGGGCTAAACTAGATGCCTGGGACTCACGAGTACAGTAATTGGAGGAAGTTGCAGGAGATGCGGTAGCTGCCACTCGTGAGTCCCAGCCATCTAGTTTAGTAGCGGCGCGGGGGATACGCTCGGCGGTTAGGCACACTCGCAGAGACCCTGTCAGAGCATTTGTTTCGTTATCCGGAGCCGACACATATTTTTTATAGAACTGACCCGCATTCAAATATTTTTGGATATTTTATGGCCAGAAATTGGCCAATTTAGCTATCTTTCGAACGCCATCATATTAAAGCCGCCATTTTGGGGAACGATTCAAAGAAGAGCCCCTATTACTTATTACTATTACTACTACTATACTAGTTAGTACTACAGCTACGGATTTTATTAGATGAAATGTGGAATATAATAAATACAGACGGTATGAACAGTTATATTATTTAAGGAAAAGTTATAACTTGCAGCAAAGTGATTATATAACAATTTCAGCAAAATGTTCCATGATCCGTCGTCTTGTTTGCTAAGAACACAGCAGTCACCTTCGTGTTTTGTTTAGGAAAATACGATGTGCATGGACAACCAAGGGACAGCATTCTTACTGATAGTCCAACTAATATTTCGCATTTTTCTCCCTTCTGACAAATGACAGCCTTTTAATCTATATTTTTCTTTGCTGGATTATTAAATTGGCGGTTGATATGTTGTGTGATATACACCAGTTCGCGATATTTGGGCCTTTTGACTCAACATATCTTATGTCAGCTAACACCTAATTAGTCACCATTTAGTACACGTTTGCTGGTTGGAGAGGAGGGGGGTGGGGGGGGGGGTGGAAAGGAGGTACCTTTTTTATCAAATAGATTCCAAGAACTCACAAACCCACTCAGAACCTTGCATCTGAAAGTCGATGGACGCTGATTCAGCTTCATGGGAAACTGCTCAAAACATAACTGCACTTACCACAAAATTACCACCAATGTCTTTACGTGTTCGCATTATATGTCCGACAGCCAGCATATGTCAATACGTTTATTCGGATGTGTTACTCTTTACCCGTTAACTGTTTTTTTTTTTAATTACTCACAGTTTTTACAAGAGTACTATGTCTTTTAAATTATCTCTGGGCTCACCTCACTTTATCTTGACCTCTGGCATCTTACGGTGTGGAGGCGAAAGTGACCGTTTGTGCGCTTTGTAAACAGGGATTCCCAGGGACTCTGTTATTCCCTCTGTACATGATTTGTACGGCCAGCCTCTTCTTCGCTTTCCGCCTAGTTATGTACATCAGTGCTTGCTGTGGTATACTGTCTGCTGATATCCGAGTTATA